TTTCTATAGAAAAACTGTCAAAATGTAAATTTATGAGAGCCTGTCCTTCTGGATATAAAATTTTATTTCCAAAACCCCTTATACAGGTGTCCGGTATTTTTAATTCAACACCCAGTTTTTCTATTAAACTCAAGCGTGCCACGTTTATTTGGCTGCCTGTATACAAATAACCTTGACACACAATATTATTTATTTTGATATTAATGTTGTAAAAATCATTTGTTACTTGCCTTTGTAATGTTTTCACCGTTGCGGACTTTAGGAACCAGCAGTCATCTCGTAGATGTCCATCTTTGTCGCAATTAGAACAATGTTTGAAGGAACGCCTGGTCGTCGTGAAGCGTCGTTGATTTTACTTGTAGATCCGGTTTTATTGTTGTCAGGTCGGTTCCAGCATTTCTTTGCCACATGGCCAGGTCTGTTGCAGACAAAGCAAAGAATTTCCTGCGGTTTTCGATTCATCCGTAGCGATGACTTGCTTCGTACATCTTTTTCTTCTTTCTTTTCAACAATGTCATATTCTATTTTGCTTAGAAATCCTTGAAATAATGATTCCGGTGTTTTGTGATTTCCAGATTTCGCTGCACTCTGTAAAGATAATGGAAGTCCATCAATTATACAGGACACGGCATTGAAGTCGTTAATTTCGCATTTTTTTAATAATATTGATTTTGAATAAAAATAATGCATCATTGTTTCGTCCGTTTTTTTCTTTCGCTCCACCATTTTTTTAACGTTATCTATGAAGTATTCGTGATTTGGAAATGCTTCAGTTACTACTTTTTTTCCATTCGTCCCATGTTTTGCAGTAATCCTGAAGTGAATTGTACCAAATTCTTGCAATTCCTGTTAGTTTTGATTGCATATAATATGATTTGGCATTATCATCCCATCCGTGAATCATAGAAAGCTGATCAATTTTATGTAACCAGTTAGCAGAGGTTAGATTGCTGTTTTCGGGATCAAATATTAGCACTATATTAGTTGAATGGATGGCATTTGTAGCAAAATATAGGTAATATTAGATTGTTTAGCCTCAAATATTTTTATTATATTACAAAAATAAAATGGCGAAAAATATCATAATATTAAGGTAAAATCATATGCACAGCTTTAGAAATAATTTAAAACCACTCACCTCCATGGAGGAAGGATAATTACTCACCTCTATTTCAAAATGCACTCGAAATTACAACTTTACTTTAAAGAAGTTTCTTGTATATTATTTAAAATAAATAAACGTTTCTTCTAGTACATTTGTTACCTTCACTTGAAATCTCAAATTATCAAGAGGTAGGCTACCAGTTTAACATTTTGGATAAATATGTGTTGCCTATAACATAGTAGTAAAAGAGTCAAAATGGCCGCGCCCTATGTTGGTCGTGTCAGACCTCTTTAGGTCCGGTTTTTCAATCTCCGGCTATTTAGGATAGCTGGCAGCTACGGAGATAGCCGTCAGCCACTGACTGTCAAAACGTTTTTCGACCTCCAGTTATACGATAGCCGTCAGCTATTTTGACTGTAACCGTAACCGACACTTGCAAGTGGTAATTTCGTATATAGATAGCCGCCAGCTATTTATTGTACATGCGTAGTACGTTGTTTGTCAAATTTAGAGGTTAATATTTTTATTAATTTTTCTATTTCTCAAAAATGGATTTATTTGAATTCATATTCACAGCAACGATGACAAAGAAATTATTTAATGTGAGCCAAGATGACCGTGTAATCCGTGTATTGTAAGGGAACGGCCCAATTATTTTGATATTGATGAAAAGAATTTTATTATAAAAATTTTCTGCAACCTTCTCATTTCGTTTCCGAGATATTGCATTTTCCGTTTTTTTTTACATTCTGTAAGATAAGTAAATTTTAATAGTAGGGCTCTATCTGATGCCGCATAATTAGATATTTTCTCTTTTTTCTAAATCACCAATTGCCCAAAAACAGAAAATAACAAGATCTTAAAGAAAAATGGAAGCAAAATAGAACAATTTTTATGTGAAGGTCGGTGACGATCAACACAAGACACGATATTTAAAGCGGAAAATTTAAATTATCCAATAAAAACCATTTAATAAATTAGCAGAAGTGCCAACCTGGCTAAGAGTAAAAAACTATTCGCTACGTAGCTAGCAGTTAAATTCGTGATGATTGAAAAACAGTTCCATCCACGTTCCATCGGTAACAGAGACTTTGACTGCCAGCTACGATATAGCTGTCGGCTACGTAACAGCCACTTTGACTGGACATTGAAAAACCGACCCTTAAAAGTATGTGGTTTAGTCCAATTACTGACAGTTTAACACGCTTAAATGTCATTTAAAAGAACCCTAAAAAACTCCGCTTTTGTCCCGCTCCTGCCCCTGACTAACCGAACTCGCCTTCTGTGTGTCGGTTTGTTCGTTGGCTTGGTTTTGTATAACAAAAAAAACTTCGACACAAGCTGATTGGTCTATTCCCGATGACGTATACATTTCAAATTTTAAATTTCAATTGGGCTTAATTTAAAAACTTTCTGCTTTTTTAACGAACTGATTATTTAGAATAACTTGTATAGCGACTATTACAATATAATTTATAAAACAGCATATCTCACATGTGAACATGGCCCATTACTATGGGATAAGAACTATACGGGGAGGCTCGTCTGAGATGGAACACCATGTATATATTTAGAATAGGTAATTGCTTGGTAGCTATTACCACCGGTGTGAAGTTAGCAGTAAGTTTTTAGCAGTAAAAATAACCGAAAACACCCGATCGGGAAAATAGTGGCGTCCGGCATACAACTATTTTAATAATCTTGTCAATATGTATTTTACATTAATATCGAACAAATAATTAATATACATACCGTTGAAAATGTCCGATTTTGAGATTATATTTAAATTTCTCAAAAATATATTGGATGGAAGATGGCCATAATTCGTGAAATGCAATACTGGTGCCATCTATCAACAAATAGTCACACTATCGAGTTGCACATATTACTTGTAGAGGCTGAAACTTGATTTTAATTAACGCACTTTTCTCTCACGCTCATGGAGAAACGATTATTACTCACGTTCAGGCCTCGCAACGAAATGGAGACAGGTGTAACAAAGAAGCTACAAAAAAGTTATAAAAAATGAGCCTGGTCCGAGCTGGTGCCGCTAAAAATATCCACTAAGCTAGCGGATCCGCGCTTTTCTCAGGTTCAGTACAAGCTACAAAAGGGAGACTAGCGTAACAAAAAAGCTACAAAAAGTTACGAAAAACCAGCTGGGTCTGAATCTGTGCCGCTACTATGGAATTTATAGAAATTCAAGCTAGCGGATCCGCTGTTTTTTCGGACCTGGGCAAAGCTACAAATTCGCAAATAGCGTAACAAAAAACCCACCAGGTCTTGTATGGTGCCGCCACAGAGTGCCCGCTAGCTTGATATAGCTATTTGAGTTGGTTGTTTGGTTGGAGTGGCTTTCTTTTTCTTACTAAATAGAGGTTATGTTATAAATACAAAATACATTTATATTTTGTAATGGAAGTTTTTAGAGTGTAAATCTTGAAGTTGATGGCCAATCAGCTGTTGGATTTTTAACTCCCACAGAAATTGAAGAAATTTCTAATGGTATATAATATATTTATGGATCAATACAATTTTATTTTTAAATTATATGTTATTTTCAGATCAAATAAAATATTTGCAGCAATTTGAAAAATTTAAATTGCAGAAGGAGATGTATGAAAGTGGTAATAATAGTTGTGAGATAAAACACAATGAAAACTCTTTACCTAAAACAAAAAATGTTGACAAAGCTGATAGCTTTAGATGGACCCCTGAGTCTGTAAAACTATTGTTGGATTTAAGATTGGGGAAAGAAAATTAGGGCTGTCATACCTCCCGATTTAGGCAGGAGTCTCCCGATTTTTCACACTCCCTCCTGCTTTTTAAACTAAGCTTTAAACCTCCCGATTTTTCAGAAATCTCCTAATTTACGCCGAATTTACATTGAATAGATATTAAAAAATTATTATTATGCTAATGATACTATCAAATTATCGGTCATTCCACCCATATCGTAATCTCTACAAGCGCGATCTTTTATATATCTGGGGGCGATAGATTTGAAAACAATCCCTAAATTGGTGTAAATATTGACCTACTTTTAGAAGAATTTGTAAAGTTGTCATCATATTTGGAAAACCCACCACTAAATTGTAAAGACATTAAAATTGACCAGCAATGGGTTTATTATTTTTAGAGTCATACATCTCCAAATTTTTTCAAAATTTGCTCTTATGTTTTTTCTCTTCCTCACTCAAACGCGATGAGTTAAAGTATTTTTAGTCTAATGATTGTAGCCTGGAGGAAAGAGAAATGCTCTTTCTATAGAAACGAATCTGAACTAATGATTAAATTTAATTATACTGAAATTTGCCAAGATTTTGCAAAAGGAAGGAAAAGTAGGAAACAATTCAAAATATTTGTAATTTTAGAATAATTAATTGGGTACAATAGGAATTTGATATTCTTTTAAGAAGTTTAACTATTTTAATGTAAGCATTTTTTTGTTGATTTATGTATATTTTTTTTTTATATTTATATTTGATTTATATAACAGACATCCAATGTTAGTGGTCAATATTACAGAATACCAGGTGGCATATGATTCTGTAAACATAAACAGTATTCTTTGTACTTATAAAAAAAAATCCCACAGAGCTGGAATTATATGTTTTAGTTCAAGTGTGAACCCCCACCTATTGTTAATTTTTATAAAAATAGGTACTTGTATGTTGACTTATTGAAAATGTTTAAATAATCGGGCATTGAAATTTGTTTTTGTTTTTGATGCTACAATATCTTTATATATTTAGTAAGTATTTAATTAAAATAAAGGTTTTTTCTTCAAAAATTAAAACCTCCCGCTTTTCATTTCTGAAAATCTGGCAGCCCTAAAGAAAATGAATTTAACAATCCCATATGCAAAAAGCAAAAATTATACAATGAAATTGCCAAAAAAATGAAAATAGAAGGTGGATACACTGTTGATGGCAACGAATGCAATGCTAAATACATAAACCTCCTTCAGACATATCGCCACAATAAGGATAAGAGGCTCAAGACAACAGGTGAATCGAAAATCACCTGGGAGTATTATTGCATATTTGACAATGTGTTAGGCACTAAAGATTCATCACGTCCTAGGGAAGAACTGTTGTCAACATCACTGCAAAACTCGGATGAAAATAAATGTCAAGAAGATGATAGTCAACCAGGAACATCTGGTCTCCAAAAAAAAACAAAAAACAGTAATTCCAAAACTAAAGAATGAAAATAAAAAAAATGTCAGTACCTATTTTATAAAAAGAAAAGAGAGGAAGAGAAAATGGAGCAAAGAAAGGTTCTGAAAGAAAAAGAGATAGATGCTCTTAACAATTTGGCTAATGCAGTAAGACATTTTTCTAAGAAACAAAGGCATAATAGCAGTTCTGATTCAGACTAAAATACTATCTTATTTTTAACAATATTTTTAATATAACGTGTTTGATATACGAATGTTGTGTTCTTTTTTGTTTATTTTGTGCTAGAATGTTATTTATGTTTGTATTTATTTTATTAAAACGTCAAGTAAAAATAGTTTTTATTAAGTACTTTTTTTACTGAAGAATATTAAAATTTTATTTTTCAGTTCTGTTTATATATTTAATATAAGTATAAAGGGGATGAATAATAATTGATGCAATAAACAAATTAAGGTATTTATTAATCTGGCATATACATTTATTAATTTAAATTTAACATTAAGGTAATTGTACCAGTACCTGACACTATTAGATCAATGTTCCAAATTCCGAACCAGTAATAAATTAAAAAATTCAAAAAAGCTTATTACAAGTATTTTTTTCAAGACATTGACATTTCTATAATAATACAAAAAACAAGGTATTTTTTTAAAGATACAACAACAAAATTAAAAATAAATTAATTAATTATCAGTTCAGATGTCTCAATACCTGATATATCAAAAACAAAAATAAACTAGTGCCTGACATGAAAATGCCTAATACCTGACTAACAATTTTTAAATTATTTTTAATAAGTAAGAAAGTAAATACTTAATTAAGTTTTTTTTTCATAAACACATTAACAAAGAATATATTTTACATAAATTCTTCAAAGTTCTTCATCTCTGTTATATTATAAATTCCCCGCTTATTCACCAAAGTAGGTGATGATATACATCTTCCATTGTATACCAAATTTTATCGCTTTTTGTGGGCCATTTCCAATTATTACCGCTTTTCTCCATAACACTGATATAGAGTTCTTCTTCATCCTTATCTTCAATCTTCCCAGGGTAATAGTTTCCTTCGTAACGAACTACTACAAATGTACCAATTTCAAAATCAGAATTTTCGTGATCTGCTACGTCTTCAATTTCTACAAATTTATCCTTCATTACTACTTCATTTTCAACCTCTGAGTCTTCTTGTTCATTTTCTTTGACCTTTTTATTTTTTAACAAGTTGCTTTTACCCGTTTGGGTCGCTGCTTTTCTTTTTTTATTCTTAAGTAAATTTTCTTTTTCTTGTCGTTTTTCCTCCCTTTTAATTTTTCTTTCTTCCTTTTCTCTCTCTAATTGCTGTTTTTGTTCAGCAATTTTTTTGTGATATTCCTGCCACTGTTCTGATGACGCCACAGATGGTAGTTTGACTTTGACTTTTTTTTTTTCACTTTTTGATGGTTCCGGCCAGAATAATATTTTTTTAAAAGGCGTTGGAACACCTTGGGGTATGTGTTTTTCTTCTGGCGACTTATTAATTTCAGTAATAAATTTTGATTTCTCTACTTCGTCTACTGCAACATCTATAATACTTTCCAATAGCATCCTTACAACGTTTTGTGCCTCAGAAATATCCGCTTTTACATCCTGAGTTGAATTGACCAAAGCCTCGTTTTCTACTATGGGACTATTTGTTGTCGACTTAGCAGCAGTAGTTTTCTGAATCAAAAACTCCTCAATATTCTGCTTCCATAATGTAGTCATGAGTATCTACAGCCGTATCAGGAACTGTTTCTAAATTATCAGGAGGATTGAAACCTTCATTCTGAGTTTTACTGATTTTGAGCCATATATTAAACAAGGAAGTGTCTTCAGGAGAACCTTTCCAAACTGTATCTGAGTTATTGAACAGTTGGACTTTTTCATGCCCAATTGCTTCCTCTAATTTTGCTTGGAAAGTCATACTATTATTTTCTGTTTCTCTAACTGTTTCGATTTTCTCTACAGTGGAATGCTTTGTTCCTTCCAAACATTTTTTATAGTCTACAGCCTGACTATCAAACGGTTGCAGGCCACAGACTTTAAAACCATTTTTTTAAATATCTTTGGTGATAGTTTTTTTAACACTTCCTGCAAGAGTGGTGCGAAATTTTGTTTTTTAAGCTTATGTTCCCCCGTTTTTATTTTCCAATTTAAAATTTCGCGTTTCCAACAATTTTTAAGAGCATGGAATATGGAATACAGCAACATCCATAGGCTGTAGAATGTGAGTAGCGTTTGGATAGAGCGGTATTAGAATGATTTCATTCTTACTGCAGAATTCACTAAGAGGAAGGGTTAAATGAGACGAATGGCCATCAAGATATAAAATTACAGGCAAGGGGATAAAATTTCTTTTGATCCATGGATAAAACATATTTGTAACAAACATAAAAAATGTTTCACCTGTCATCCAGCCCGACTCGCTCTTTCCAATTCCCCATTCCCCGGGTATTGAAGAGCTTATGTAGGAAGGAATTCTTTCATATGCAAACACACCACTTCGATTATAAATTGATTTATCACCTTTCTGAGCAAGCACTTTAGGACCATTTGGGTTTAAGAAAAAGGCTGTTTCATCAGTATTGAAGACACGAGATGGATCTTGACTAATATCAGTATAGTTATTTTTTTTTTTTAAGGTAAGTTTCAATTTCTTCAAACCATCCCTGTAACAATAATTGTAATAAAAAAAAGTAAAAACTGAACATTTATAATTATTGAACCTTTATATTTTTTTCGGTCACATTTGCTCTGCTGGTGGTTAAGTTTTGAGACACTCTTTCGCTGATTGTAGGGTGACGCTTCAAAAATGCCTCAAACCAATGGCGCCCAGGTCTCCCATTTGGAAAAGGCGTTTGCTTTCCCATTGTTGTTACAATTAATTGGACACTGTCCAACAATTGTTCTTTTCCAATTGGAAAACCATGTTTGCAACAATGTAGCACCCAGGTGACTAGAGCTTCTTCTTCCTTTGAGGACAAATATGTTGCAGGGCCCATTTTTCTTCCTTCCGGGTATTTTCCACTTATTTTGTAATGTAGTGTGGTTTTTGGCACACCAAATTCTTTGCTAGCACAGACTGACCACTTTTGACGACTGCAATTGCATTTGCCATGTTTTCCTTACAGTAATTTAATATTTTCTTTTTCTGAATTTTATTTTCTTTTTGTTTGGTCTTAGGCATATTCTAAAAGAAAAAAAACTTGCCAACCTTTTACTAGCAAATTACTGATCAAACCAACACTGGTCAGCTATTGGGACAAGTTCAATTTTGCACGGGTACCAGTAGCTGAAACATCTGTCAGGTACTAGGTAATCGTAATCCTAGTAGCTGACACATTAAAAAAAATAAAACAACTTGCTAAATGTGGTATTTTTTTGTATAAAACACCATTAAAAACTATTCACAATAGTGTCAAAATAAAATACTTACCAATATCCACTTTTGAACCTATTTGTTCAACCAAAAACTTATCTAATTCCTTATTACTGGTGTTAAGAAAGTCGCGAAACCTAAGCATTCGCAAATCGCGCGTAAATTGTCAGGTATTTTATGGGTTAGAATCCAGAACAGAGTGACATACAGTGTTACCAACATGTGGTGAAATATTGAATATTTTTCTAAATCCCCTCAATTATTAAAATAACGTCATAGAAACCTTATTAAACCAAAAAATGTGAAAGCATGTCAGCCACTGGGACTGTGTCAGGCATGGGTACAATTGCCTTATTGTATTTCTTTTTTGTACAGCATTTATATTATTTACTCTGCCCATATAAACCTGCTCATTTTCTTCAATCTCCTGTTCATTAAATTCATAATGTACTGGAACATTATGTTTTATTATAAAATTATGGAGAACACATGCAGCTACCACAATGTATTTAAATTTAGAATATTTGGTTAAATTTAAATAAAGCAGCCTTCTAAATATTTCCTTAAGCCTTCCAAAGGCATGTTCAATCAAAACTCTAATTTTACTTAGAATTTTTTTATATTTTTTTTGCTGTACTGTCAGATGGCCATTGTCTTTGAAGGGCACCATAATAAAGGAGTTCAAGGGATATGCAGTATCACCAAGAAGGTGATACTGATCCGGTAATATTCTGTCATTGGACAGTTTTGAAAAAAATTGGTGAATTCTGCCAGACATGGGCAGATCCAGGCCATCCACAATATATATTTAAAAACTCTAATTGGCTATTACAAATCCCTTGTAAAATCATGGAGTGTACACCTTTACGATTATAGAAAGAATTGTCTTTTTTTGTGCCTCTTATTTCAATGTGAGTTCCATCGACGCATCCTATAACATTTGGGAAAGTAGCGTTATTTCTCAGATGATCAAATTTTTGAACACACATTGCTAAGTCTTCTTCACGAGGCCACACAATATATTGATTTTGCAGATTGCATATTAACTGACATGTATTAATACAAATATTATGTGCATTTCCTTTACTAACTCCAAATCGGTCGGCAATTCCTCTAAAGCTCTCTTGATTTGCAAGTATTCATAATGTTAATAGAAGAGAATCTAAAGGTGCATTGGGTGGCCTTCCTGGAGTAACACAATTTTTGAAATTTAACTCCAACAGAAGTATATTTATACAATTAGGCATTCCAAACTGAATGACTACCAGTGGGTTTTGACAGGTTATGATGTGGCAAAGTTATGGCAACTCTGTAGGCCTGGTGATTTGACAAGGTGAGTGAAATAGATAGTTACATAGATTGATCATCCCTACTTTTTAAAATAAACATAAGCTTATGCCTTGAAGTAAAAATATAAGCAATTATTATTTTTTAAATATCTAAAGTCTGAAAATTGGTTTTAAAACACATTTTGGCTAAACTGATTCAAATTAATAAATATTTGCCAGGCAATATGGCCGCTCGCAAACGACCAGCTTTGAGCAATGTATATAACACATATGTATCATTGACCCTGTTAATGACAACAGGGTTGCCATATCTAAACTGTCAGTACCCACTGGTAGCCATTTGGACAGGTCGTTGGAATGCCTAATGCTTTTACTTTCGATCATAGATAAATTAATAAAGAAGATAGTCGGATCCCGTGTTAATTTTTGGAAACAAACAGTGCTGCGAATTAGTATGGAACGGATTTTTTTTAACTACACTGGCTGATTGACTTGCCAGTTAGAGGCCGAATAAGAAAGAGAAGAATAAAAAAGAAGAGCTTTAAGCGAACCGCGGTTTATTCAAATATAATTTATTATTTATTTACATTTTT